ATATACTGGCTAGAGCAAAGGTTCCCAACCCCGTCCATGGACCAACACCGGTCTGTGGCATGCCAGAAACTGGGCTGCACAAACAAACAAAGCTCCATCTGCGGAATGCAGGCAGCACATGAAACCATGCCCCCTCCGCTCCACGGAAAAACCTCTCTCCAAGGAACTAGTCCCTGGTGTTCAAAAGGTTGGGGGCTGCTAGGCCAGTGGTTGGTTGCCCCCAGTTCACACCGGTTCTATAGAACCGGTAGTAAAACTGGCGGGAGGCTCCACCCCCGACCCCAATGTCACCAAAATGCTTCTGCGCATGCACAGAAGAGCGCACGCCACGCAAGCAAAGCGAGTGCGTGCACGCGGCCCCATTGTGAACCTGTAATAAAGGTAAGTAGAACCCACCCCTGCATTAGGCTAGAGATTATTGGAACAGTAATCCAATATATATCGGTTGAGGTTCTGAGAAAAATTTTATCCTGTTGTAATTTTAAATTAAGATCCACATCAGTTTTTACCCCTTTTTTTCACCTATAATGAAGTGTTCATCTTTGTTATGGTCTTTCGTCTAACTTCACTTTTGTGAACCTGTTTTTGCTCACTTCAGAGGGGATAGGCTACTTTTTGGTTCTTCAGTGGTAGGGAACCATTTGCAGTTCAATTGGCTTTTAGGATTACGTCAAATGCCTTTAATTAAGTCACCCAAAGCCTCATTTGTTATAATAACTGAACAAAATGTGTATTTAATTCTGCAACCATTTTTTCTTTATGTGTCTCTTCCTGCTCTCCTCACCCATTCTCTGTGTGAGAATGATTTTTGTGGACTCAGAAGAGATCTAAAGCTACCTGTAATAAGATACAGGGCGGAAAAGCTAAATACAAACACATAAGCTTTATTATAGCTTGTGAGGACAACTTAACTAATTACATCACAATTGTTGTAAAAGAACATATTCTTAAAATGTGATTGTTTATATTATCTGCAACTTGCATTTGAGATAAAACCTGTATTGAACTCTGAAGGAATAGAATATCTTCTCTTACATAAAAGTTCTTCAGTTGACAATTAAAATTATACCAAAGGATTGAAAATGAGAGGATTTCTCTCTTTGTTAAATTGAATGTGGGAATTGAATTTATGAAATTGTTCCTGTAATACCAACAATCTGGAAGGAAAATAGTTCAAGGCTATACAGCAGTCTGTAAAAGTCCAAAAGGTGCACTGTTACTGATTTCAGCTGAACCTTTCCAATAGTTTGCATGTTATCATTTATTCCCTTTCATATAGTGAAAGTAACTGCCTTGGTATTCTTTGGGGATATCTTTGGATACAAAATGGTAGGAAAAAAGTCAATTAGATTTAGTTCAAGGACAGTCTGCTTGATCAGACCAGGATTTCTTCAACATTGAGTAAAGTTTTAAGTTGGCAAATAATCATTGAGACTTTTCAGAGTTTCTTGTTTTTATTTTGAAGTTTGACATTTTAATTTTGCCATTGTATGATTTTGGGATAAACTAACAGAATCCCATGATATCGCATTACTATAGATCACCAGGAGGATTAATTAAATACGTCAACTTTCCTCACTCCAGTGTTCTCCAGGTGTGTGAGAGATGCTCATATTAGTTGGAGATTTTGTTGAACTCCAAAATTTCTAAAGGCATCAGGTTAGGAAAGCTTCTTAAAGTATTAAAATGTCATTTTTAAAAAAAAAAACCAAGAAGATTGGGAGGAAGAAGCCCAATTGTTTTCAAATAATCATAGATATCCATGGGCATTCTATTCAGAAGGCCGTCCTAGCGCTGATGTTGTTCCCTAGTTTGGTAATGAAATGCCTGCAAGAAAACAGTCAAGCTCAGAGAGCACCAAAACCCCACATTTCAACCCTCAGCTACAAATATTCTCTTCTATCAGTATTCAAAAAGCAGTAGAGCCAAATTATCAAGAATAGTCATACCCAGGGGTACATGTTTTTATATTGTACTCTTAGCATTTTATTTAGCTCAGGCTGATTTATTTTCACCAGTAGCTGACTAAAAATGACTTATTTACAATCTTATTAGCCAAAAGCATAGTTTTGCTCTTCATTCATAGCCTTCAGGATTGAGCTTCTCATTTGAGTAGACTAGGAGCAAAACTCTAGCCTTAAATGCTATTCTTTGTTCATGTTGCCATAGTCTTAAATATGCATAAGGAAAGAGCATTAACATAATGGTGTGGAATTCTCATATTGACATTTTAATTGTATCTAAAGCAAGCTGTGCCTTTTCTTGTGTTTATAATAGTAAAAAGTATGATACTTTTCATATTACTATATACAGGAATGGAATAATTCAAATTAATTATTTTTAAGCAAAAGACATGGAAATTTCTTATGAACTAAATAATTTAGAAGCATGAGATAATTTGCTAAGTATGAAAAATTTCTGTATTACGAGTTTCCTGTTACTCTAGTACTTAGGAAAAAGATTCACAACACCTTTTCCTACCTTTCCAAACCCACTGCTGGGACTAAGCTTATCTACTATAAAATTCTATAGTTCCACAGTTCAAGGTATCTTGGGTTAATTTAATTTTGCTGTGCTTGGTCCATAACAAATTGGATCAAACACTGTTTTCTTAAGAGTTGCTAAATCCAATTGCCTGTTTAATTGAGACTTGGCTGCTGAGGGCCAATTTCTACCACTTTAACAGACTAAGATTTATCCTACCAATGGGCCATTTAGCACAAAATGCTTCCTGCAAAATAAATGGCAACACCCAGAGGTTTTGAAAAAGTTGTAGCAGAATTGTGATGTTTTTTTTCATTTCTTCACAACTTCTTAGTCCTTGAAGCATAAACTAATGTTCCACATGTATAAGAATAAAGCATAGCTACTAATTGAAACCCAGTTCTACTAAAACTTCATAAATACATCTGTAAAACAGAAGGCAATTTCTCCAAATACCCTTACTATTTTCACCTGTCCCTATTGTATGTCTTACCCCTTCTTTGACCACAACAATACACATTAGCCTCCAAAAGTATATTGGGGATGAGTACAAAAACAAATTCTTAACTGATGCCTCTATTAATAGTATTACAAAGCTTAGGTATGTGGTTTGGGGGAACTCTTTATATTGAAGCTCCTGTTTTTATGAGCTGTTCTTTCTTTGTTCCATCAATAGAGAAGAATGACATATTGTCATATTTTAAGGGAACTACATTTGATTGTTATTTTGCTTTACTACCCATAATAAATCTTGGCTGAATAATAGACTATGTTGAATCTTGCTGGAAATCCTTGGCACTGATAGACAGAATTATCTTTCCTCTTTCCTTTTTGATCTGCCTCTTTGGCAACCTCATTCTTAATAACACCAGACAGGAAGTAAATGAACTCGTGCATTTAATTTTCTACATCATAGTGTCCACTTGAAGAATATGCTTTTCAGATATTTCTACAGCAGAGTTTTAAAAAATATCTTCTCCATAAACCTCTAAGGTGGCTATGCATTCAGCTTTTAGCAGTTGGCAACAAGATTTAACTAAATTCTTTGTTTATAAACAGATTATAAAGAATAAGTTTCTCAAGAGTCCAGAACAAGTTAAGCATGGGTTTATTTATGTAATCCTTTCTTTGATTGGCAATCAGAGGGTTGTTCTTTAATTATACCCCTTAATTACAGAGCTATCTAAATTTCAGAGGGAAATAGAAGAAGAGAAAATAAATATAAGAAGGGAAATTAAGGATCTAGAATTGCTTATCAACTTTAGGTAAGCAATTCCTAAAGCAGACTGTGCTCTCTCATCCATTATGCCTAGTAGTCTATTTCTGTATAAATAGGGTAATTATTTAAATTTTACATTTATACATATGCATTACCATATGCAATTTTTATGCAAATCTATTTTATATCATTTCTGTTAATGCATTTTGTCTCATGGGGTAATGCATTAATCACACACAGAGAGATGACTTATCTTTCCACACATAAAATGATATTTTTTTAAAAAAATGTTTTGCCATTATCATAGTATGGATTCTTTTGTGTTTCATTACTAATATCAAAATATTTCTGTTAGGCTTAAAACAATCCAAATAACATCCCTAGCATATTTTTAAAAGAATCATCCTAATTAATAAAGAATATAAAAATATAAATATGTTTCGAAAAGTACTACTTCAGAATTTGTGGTAACTGGCTGTTTTATTGCAAAATGGAATAATTTTTTTATTATTTTAGCAGAACGACTTAAAGATTCAATATTACTTTTCTTATTTGAACATATATCTTCATTTTCTTAAAATGATAAGACAAAGTTAGAATTTCTCATCACTGAAAGTGTCTTGTTCTGCATTGTTTCATTTCCTTAGAGCTTCTTGCCATTTCAGTTTGCTAATCGAAGTGTTATTGGCTTTACTCATATTGCTTTATTAATTCAAGACAAATTCATTTTCTTTATCCTTCCACGGTCCTTGTGATTCCTTTCTTTCCATTCCAGATTTGCCTATATTAATTGCCTTCAGAGGCTGGAGTACTGTTAAACTCTCAAGGCCACGAAGAGAGCAATCTGTTGAATCAATGACTAGAAAACTTAAAACGAATAGCTTGTTTATGAGAACTATCTGTTTGGGGTTTGCATGTTTGCCCTGTGCTTGTCCTCAGCATTTTCTGCATGCCCCTTCATCTGAGACACTCCAAGCATCTCCTGTAACTGACCATCCTGTCTTTCTGAGATAGAGAAATCTTACTATAAGACTGCCAAGGAAAGAATGAAATTCAAGCTTTGTTTCTCTTTTGAAAAAAAGAATTCTTTAGTTAGAAGAATTATTTGCTGTTTACATTTGGCAGTACGTATGTGTGAACGAGTGTCTTGATCCATTTTGTCTTCACATGCCTGCATGTTTACCTTCAACAAATAATTGGCAAAGCCAGAAAATTGAAATCATAGTATCTTTTAAAAGCAGTTTTTTGCATTTCCCTCTCCTAGTTTTAATCTCTCCAACCATTCACCAAACTACAGATGTTCCAACTGTGGCCGCAACCACCATTTCAGAAACTACTGTCCCAACCACCATTACCGAAGTTGTAACCACCACCACAGAAGTTATAACCACTGCCACCACAGAAGCTGTAACCACCACCACAGAAGCTGCAACCACTACAGAGCCAGCAATCATCACCACACTTGTTGCTAGTACAATAGGTATCAAGTACTGAGCTCAGCTTCTGTGTTTTCCTCTTCTGTTTATGTTACCTGACTAAGCCCTTTCAGGGTCTTTCATATACTTTGAGCCTAATATACCAGCTTAACATCAAAGCATAGATGATTTCTAAATCAAGCAGAACCAGGATTTTCCTCTAAGCATAGTCATTTTTTTTGGCAGCATATTAATCATTGAATTATTTTTAAAGATTCACAATGATTCCAAATGCTAAAAAGATTATCCAGAACAATCTTGGAGCTATTTCTATAAAACTTTGTGTCTCCAGCATTACTTCTTAGTCTGCCATAGACAATCTGGATTCTCCTTTTCAAAGATGTCCTTTATAGACATCACACAAAGCCAGCCTCTGTTCATTTGCATTCTAATAGATTATGCATAGTTACAATGGGTAGAATACTAAAGTGGCATTATTTTTTTATTCGCAATATAGCATACCAAGGATCATCTAGGACTGAAATATCCCAATTATTGACATCTCTTCAAGGAATAGTTGATAATTAAGCAACTTCAGTCAGGATGGTTTGGAGTGGATCTCCGTGCAACTATATTACTGTTTTACTGTTCCTCATTTATGAAGTGGCATCTATTTATTTATTTTTTAAAAAATATAATGCCACCTACTCACAGCAACTCAAGGCATCTTACAGGAGATAAAAATAATAAAATAATAACCCCCATCCCGCCACCTGGCCGATAACACATACTCATACCAGCCATTTAATGGCTCCATCCCACTCTGGCTTCCCCAGGCCCATGGGCGGAATTACATCTTCAGGACCTTCCAAAAGAGTGTCCATACTAGAAAGCATAGAGATCCTCTATAAAAAAGATGGACTCCAAAATCTTCTAAGCTTAGATATACAGCTTGAAGATTCTAGCTCTGATCTGTTACCATCTGGAGAATCAAAACATTTATCACCAGAATCAATAACAAATTGAAATAGAACCAGAATCGGCTCTAACGCCAATTTAAAACACATTATCTCTACTGAGCAAAGTAACAGAAAGTCTTCCATTCTAAAGTTTTTCAAACTCATTAACAGCAGCTTTGCTTTGGATCTCCCTATGGAAGAGGTGGGCTTAAGTGTAAAGCAGTCAGTAGCACTCCAAGCTGTTGCCCAATTGCCTTTCTCATAAGAATTTATTGAAAGATTTTTTCACCACAGCCCCTGGCTAAACCTGGCCCATTTTAATACAACTTTGTCTATTGTCAATTTATTCTGCCATAGCAAACTTGGACCAGTTTTGTTTTGCTTTCCCATTCTTATTGATAGCTGGACAGGCAAAGACAGGCTCAGGACTTTTTACATATTTTTTCCTGACATTCCCTTGGTTTGGGAATAAAGATTAAAATATTTTAGCTGAAAAAAGTCTGCAATCTCTAAGTTTAATCACAAGACATTCCCACTTTATGCAAGAATATTCTTGTAGATAGATTTTTCCCATTCAGACATGCTCTTAAGGAGGGAAAATATTATTCAGTGCACAATTAGTTTCAAAGCAAAGAACTATTTAATTGAATTGCTCTAAACAAAGAATGCTGCCTCTGTTCACATTCCTGACATGGACAATTAATCATTTCCAGACAATCTTTGCTAAAAAAAAAAAAAAATACCTGAGATTCTTGATTAAAATGTTCTCAGTCTCAGTCCGGTGGTATTATTTGATGCAGAATTGGCCATGACATGACCAGCAGTGATTTTACAATCCTGATGAAAGTTAAAGCAAACCCTAATAATTCTGATTAAATGCTGTAATGATTGGAGTCCCATCACAAAAAAATGGAATACTCACGTGTATTCTAAGCCATGTTTACTCAACATAATGGCTGGCTTTCATCAGTATAAAGAGTTCTTAGTTGGTGCTTAAAACTATATATTATATGAATGACTTTGTCAGAGGTCTTCAAACTTGCAGCTTTAAGACTTGTGGACTTCAACTCCTAGCATAGGTAGCTGGAGAATTCTGGGAGTTGAAATACACAAGTCTTAAAGCTGCCAAGTTTGAAGACCTCTGGACTCTATAGTGTAATGACTAGAACAAGGTAGTAGTATATAGACATTTCAAAATAAAACTTCTATTGGGAACAGAAATATATTATCATGAAGATTAAAAAATATAGTTGACAGGAAAATGCTCGTAAGTCACATTACATAGTGGCTGCATTTACTGTTTAAAAATGTGCTGCTATTAAAAAGAGGGATTGTAATAATTCACTTTATACAAAAAGCTTATAATCATATGCATATCTATGCAGAAGTAATTCAAACTGAATTCATATTTATATTAACATAATCCAGGTAAATACTGATAGAAGAGCAGCCTAAAGCAACAGCTTATGTTTCTGAGCTAAAATTGCCAAGCCAGCTAAACTTATCATAAAATCAACAAAGGACAAAGGATGATCAATGCGTCCTGTGCAGAATACTAACAAAAAAAGTTTTCTCTCTAGATTTGATAGACATTAAATCAGAGAGCTGATATATTTTAAAATACACTGAACTTTTCTTTGGTTTGATGCAGTGTTGAAGCAGAATATATTTGTGTTTCATAAATCTACTTAAACACACTATCAGGAACTGCTACTGCCAAGCCATTAAAGTGTTCAGCATCAGCAGTCCATTTATTTGAAAAGAATTCTAGCATGCAGTGTACAAGTTAGCTTTCATTAGAAGTTAGTGCTTCACTGTCAAAAGTTTCATTTAGGTTCCCGAGTGCAAACAATGCTTTTAAAATAATAAAACTGCACTAAGAGTCTCAGTCTCTTGTGATGAGTCTTAAATTGCTAAATCATTTGAGATCCTTCCTAAGTAGTTAAGTAAATTAAGACTCATTCGCATAGTAGCTTCTCACATACTTCTGTTCTGTGCTTCTCAAAAAGGGGAATATTTCCCTCTCTCCCCCCCCCAAAAAAAAACCAGCCCTAGGACTTTTGTTTCTGAAAAAAGATGCCCCATAAATACCCACATCTTGGGATCTTAATTACATAAGCACATCTGTCCTACTTTGGAGTAGCTGTAGGAGCCAGCAGAAGGTAGCAAAAATAGCTCACAAATTTAGCTTACTGTAAATAAAAAAACAGTGGATTCCTAAAATATGGGTCATTGGGACATGCACAGTATTTGGTTTTATTGCGTTCTCAGGGCAGACAAAAAAAAAGAGGCAAACCTGAAGCAGATATATAAATGAAATTGAAAATGGAATTGCACAACACAAACCTCCTATGAAAGTTAGAAAGATCCCTGGTAAGCAGGGGTGAATAATATTATTGTCTGCATTACACTGTAAGGAAGAGAGGACCTATTATTGGTGTTCTGTACTAGTAATGATGCATAAAGAGCAAAGCAAAGAGTGACTATGTTACTTTAATGAAACACCATTTCCAAACTACTAGTCTGTAGCCAATAGACTAAGGGTCAAAGAAGTGATAGACAATTTTTTTCCCCACATGTTACCTATGTGAGAAATTGTTAATGAATCCAGAACTTTCACTTAAGTTGGAACACATTGTTTCTACATTATCTAGTTGACTAACTTCTGTTCTAACCTGTTCACCAGCTGGTGTTGGAAAGCTGCCGCCCATCTGGAATGTAAAAATTTCATCTAACAATAACTGGGCAAACATCACCTGGAACCACACATTTGATGCTGACACTGAATTTGTGGTTGAGTATAGCAACAGTAAGCATTGGGCTCATGGGAATGTTGCAGAGTACTTAATGCGCTGTAGGTCTTGTTTTCTCTTAGAGTTTTATTTCAATTAATTTTTACGATTCTGTATTTGTTGATGACTTTAGGCTCATGGACCAAACCACATTGTGGTGGTTCAAAAAAAAAATGTTATCCATAGAATTTATTGAATATATAACCCTAATAACTGCACCTAATATGACTGACTATAAAATATTTGATGCAATGTTGAAGAGATTTGTGTAATGTCTTGTGCACAGTTTGAAATAACACTGTGCATACCATTCTACAGGGCCAAAGGAAAGGCTGTCTTCCTTTCTCTGGAATACTTTTTAATTTGTACTGCAGTTATAAATATATTTATGGAAATTTGCTGCTCAGAAACACTTTAAGAACTGCAGTCATAATGATGATTTACATTTATACACATCTAATCCAGTCTTTATGAGCCCAAGGTTTCCATGGGTTTAAGTACTTACAGATCCATGTCTGACTATTTGGACATGGATTTCATATTCTAATTCCCCTGTATGGTTTTAATAAGAGTAGGTACATTACGTTTCCCCTTAACCTTTCCAAAACTGTAGATAAATTTAAAAACAACACATCAAGCCACTATGAAAGTATTCTCAGAGGAAGGTTTGTGAATATTATTTAATTCTTGGAAGTGGCAGACAATTATGACAATTCCTTCCTATCCAAATTAGAAATTTCTCAGAATCTGTGTGAAAATAGGCTCCTTTTTCCAGATAAAGGTTTTGTTTTTGTTTCATTTTGGTTTGAAGCAAAATGATTTTTCTGTATTTGGTTGCAATCACAGAACCATTTGTGTAAGAATCTTTCATCTGATTGTATCTGATTGATGCTGAAGCTGGTGCTTAGATTAGTGAAATGGTGTCTAGAAAATCGATTCTGCCAGTGGTGTAAGCTGGTTTATAAAACTCTTATAAACAAACTCTTGAACTTTGAATTGGGTGGGGTCTGAAACTCTAGATGTTCATCTTGCTGAAATATGTTAGCCAGCAAGCAATTATCATCATAGCCCAACTTGATGCTTGACCACACAATAATCTCTTCTTTTCTTTTTAGCTACCTTTGATATGAGATTTCTGTTTCCCAGGTAACAAAACAGTGAAATCTTCCCCTGCTAAAGGTTTTCTGGAGCTGAGTGATCTGATTCCTGGTGAGAAGTATATAGTGCGGGTTTTTCTCAAAGGCAATGAGTCTGTCTTCTCAAGTGAAACCTTTCATACAAGTCCAGGTGAGATGAATCTCAGTCTCCATGTCCTGCATTTGAGGATGCATCCCATTCCGAGCTTTCTGCTTTTCTGTGCTGCTTCTTCAGATGGAAGGATGAAGGCATGCATGAAGAAACATATCCATTCTTTCATCAATGTCAAGCACTCTGACCTTATTATACAACTATCGGAATATATCACTTTTAAACAGAATTTTAAGATTATCTTCTGCTTGCTTTTAAACTATTTATAGGTTTTTTTTAATGAAACAAATTCATTTTCCAAGAAATCTTATAACAAGGACAGAGACCTGTAATACTTAGACCTAAAGAATAAATTATGTTGCTAAAGAGCAAGGTATCTATTGCTACTGGCCTGTTTATGTTTATGTTTGAATGAGCGTGCACTGTTCATTGTCATCTTGCATGTGCTTATACAACTATTGGCAGTTATGTTCCAGAATATTTATCTTAAAAAAGGATTGTGTTGGCTATTACAAAATGATGGATCGGAGATTGCTGTTGCATGTTCATACTTACATATGGTCATATATTGTCATCTGAGAACTGTAGCAATTTACATTTGCAGAATATTGCTTTGTATCACCTGTTCATGTCACTAAACTCTTTGTAGGATTGCTTTCACATTGTTCCCTTCTTCTAAAATTGTCATGTGTTTCCTCATTGTTAGAGAGTATATAGACATATCATTACAACATATTTTGTGTTATTTCCTTATATTCTTCAGTTCTTGTCTAGTTCTTGTCTGACTTGTATAAGGCGGGAAGGGATTAACAATGCAATGCTATCTATGCAGTATGAGATGACAGAATTGTTTTGTGGGTTCTCTGATCTGTTTTGCTGTTAGTCGAAGTTTTTACTTTGCATTTCACTATACCAAAAATGCAGGAAAATTAATAATTATAACTGTATTTGGAAAATAGAAACTTGCTGATTAAGAGGTAAACTTAAACTGTGCTTTTGAATAATACAACTACAATCAACAAAACTAAGTTCTTCTGTAGATGGTTCCTAGCACTATCTTTTTAAGTAATAATTTTATTAAAGAGTACAAATATATCAATGAAAACTAATAGAAACTTCAAAAAGTTAAGAACAAAAGGTATAAAGTTCAGGGGGAAAAGAAAAAATATATAAATAACTTTCCCCTTGTCACACCAAGTATAAAAGCTTGTTTTGACAACTCATCTTCTCTTGAAAAATAAGACATCCCTTCATCCCGTATCTCATCTCTTTGTTTATAAACAACTCTTAAAACCTTGTCATTGTATCATAATCAACAAAAGTTCATTAAGGGATACCAGAAATAACAACACAACTATTTTAAATTTAATCCCAGAACCTAATTTATGATATTTTTTTCTACATCTCATCCTTTATTAAAAAAAATTCCCCAAACCTCATAATTAAATCATAATCAATCAAAATTCATTAAAGATTGCCAACAAAAAACACATTAGTCAAATAGAATTAAAATATAAAATAGATTCTTTTTCCCATGTCATCTCTTCTAGAAACAAGACCTTAAAACATTGTCATTCAGTCCTAATCAGTAAAAATTCAATAATAGTAGTCACAGATAAGAAGATATATATTCTATCTTAATTAAATAAACCAACTTTGTATTCCTTATCCTTATTTTATACATATTTATAAATATAAATTTATATAAATTATATATATTTGTATATATACTCTATAATTCTAGTTTTTAGTCACTTCAAATAATGTTCTAGAACTTGATTTGTTGTTTAGTTTCTTTGTCTCTTCTTTAAAAAAAATTGAGATGTTTAACTGATCTCTTTCTTAAAGCTTGATTTTTTTTCATTTTTTGCTTTGTCTTTTGTCACAAAATCCTTCAAAGTTTTATTAGGGCTCTTTTGTACATCCAGTATATCCAAATCTACATTTAAATCAGTCTCAGGCGTATCTAATAGAGCTCCTATTATATCACAACATCATTTATATTACTTTTATCAATGATAGCAGATATTTAAAAAATTAATTTCTGAGTCCATTGTTCCAAAATGTCATTAAATGCATTTGGTGTTGAAATATTTTGCTCCACTATTGTCAAGTAATTTGTTTCTCCTTTAAATGCAATCTTTAGTTCCTTCTGAATCCCTGTAGTGTCTAAGCATTCAAGTCTTATCTTGTTATGCTTCTATTTTTAGAGTTTTACAACATTAGTTTTCCACAGAAAGGATTCATAGAATTAATTTTAAAGTCTTATTTCACATCTGTCTGGACCCTTAGTTCATTTAAATGTTCCCAAAACCAACACTCTAATCTTTTGCTGTTTAATCCAAAAAGTTTTTTTTTTCTGAATCTTTAACTTGGTATTTATAAATCTTTTCAGTACAGATTGAGGGAGACTCAACCAGTGAATCTCATAATTTCAAGGGTTCTCAATATATTAAAAACTGGGGAGGGGGGAGTAATTCCTAAAGGAATTAAGAGATGAGGATTGGTCAAACGTAAAGTTCTTAGACACTACATTATGCCTATGAGCCTCCTGAAATCCCTTGACTTTCAGTTGCATGACACCTAAGCAACCCCAGAAACATTGGATCCTGCCATCTACTTATGAGTTGCAGCTGTTGAGAATACATATGGGCAATTTTATAATCTCTCCTTCTCCAGAGACATCTCAGTAACTTGGATCCAGCATCCAGATGCTAATTCAGCCATAATGTTGTTTCCTCTGTTCAAGGACATCCATTCACCATTTCTTCTCTGGAAGTGACTCTAGCATTATCAACCAACAGTTATGCTTCAGTTTTCCAGTCTTTCTTTCCTATACAGATTTGTTCTGTTTAGAAAAAAATACAAGAAGCAATTGAAATATAGAAGGATTAGAAATTGTAGAATTATACAGCTGGAAGAATCCATTCTGTTGTTGAATCCAACCTCATGCTGATTATAGGATTTAAAACAAGCTTAAACAAGACTTCTACCTGATTAGCTCCAATACAGTGTGAAGAATTGTTTTTGTACTTTTATTAATTCCTTAGTAGAATTTTGAACTGTAGATCTCGTCATGATATAGAACTATAATAGAAAGAAACATACAAGTCCTACATTGAGTAGATAATTTGTGCCCTTAACATTTGACGTAATCACCTAATACTTCTTTGAAAGGAGACTCCATAATTCCCAAGGATTATAGCTTACATAAATTGTTAGCATAAATGTGAAAAGCCAAAATACTAGCTGCTGCAGTGTTGCTTTCAAGAACCAGATTTTGGAAAGACAAACCTACCTCTCACTTGCAGATAAATCTCTGCCTACCCGCCTGCTTGCCCTTCCTTTTTAGGGGGAAAGGGCAAATATTCATTTTAAGTGTCATAAAGAGGTAGTTTAAACTTTAGCCCATTCTTTTTTTATAGTGCCACTTGGATACTATCTGCATTAAAAAAAAAAAAATCTGAGCTTGCCAAACAAAATAAAAGACTTGAAATTCTTCATTATGCAGTGATGAATGTCCAGGATTTAATCCTCTGATGTTTCGCAAATGACCCCTGAATCATTTGGTTTTAGTGCCCTCCTGTCTTTTTCCCTACTTTCTGGTAAAATGCATCTTATATGAGAACAGCCTGTCCTTGTCATGTATCTTTCACAGTCACACCTGTGACAAGAAAGCACTGCTCATTTTTCTTTTCTTTTTTAAAATCTCATCCATAATGTACACTATTTTCTCTGTTAGCAGTACCAATGCACTGGAATCAGAAATAAATTAGAGTAGAACAACTCAGTGTTACAGAAATATAGCTGTATATGGAAATAACACAGCCTTCCCTGATTTATAAATATAATGATAAAGATATAAAAAGACATAGGGTTTTGACAATGTCTTAATAACCTATATTATATAGGGTACAGATTGATTGTGTTGCTGTATTGGCTTCATATGTTTTTTTCTTTTAAAATCTATGTTGCAATAGGAAGAATATATTTCAATTTATACTCCTACAGAACTAGCATGATACTATTTTCAGACTTATATCATACATTGCTGTTTTATACAATACATTGATCTATTGCTATCTAACCTCAGACTATTATTTGTTATACATTTAGCTTTGGATTCAGGCTTTCAAAAATGCAGGAGGGATTGGAAAGTGGATTGTAAATTCCAGTGGCCCAAAGTGACTTGAATGTTATTAAACAATAAAATTGTTTAAACTTATAGTTTTCCAATGGGCAATTTCCTGTCAGTATATTTGGAGCCCAGGATATTGCTTTGATCATATTTTTGAAAAGAAAAAAAAATGAAAATGTTTTGTTTGCTCAGATGAAGGCAAAGTGAGCTTGGAATTTTTCCGTCAGTCTTAATTTTTACTCTGATAGAATATAATTCTGGTCATGGCCCCTAAACATCTATTTGTTAATTGTTCATGCTATTATTTGTTAACAGTTTTTGAAAATACATACAATCATGGCAATACATAGATATTAAGTCAACAGTATTAATATTGTGCACCATTTTCTGATAGTAGTATAGAACATTCATTCATTCATTCATTCATTCATTCATTCATTTTATATGCCATCTCACCTAAAAGTGACTCTAGGCAGCTTACAAACATTGAAACACTAATATAATATACCCTGTTTTCCCCAAAATAAGATCCCCTGATAATAAGCCCAATCAGGCTTTTGAGCACATGGCAATAAGACCAAGCACTTATTTCAGGGTTCAAAAAAATATAAGACAGGATCTTATTTTCAGGGAAGCACGGTATTAAAACTTCAAAATAATAAATAGTAACATTAAATTTGATTCAAAATAGTCAAAAATGGGGAGCAAGGGGGCAAAATGCCCACAAGGAAGAATAGCACACCCCCATTAGGGCCCCAGACCAGGTCTTCAAAACTTTTCGGAAAGCCAAAAGGGTGGGTGAGGATCTCACCTCAGGATGAGATCCTCATGATGTTCCAGAGGGTAGGAGTCATGGCACACTTCTCCTGGACCTTGCCAACCAGAATCACTTGACCAAAGT